GGAGAGGTCCGGGCCTGCTTCTGGCTGTCAGCACCACCTGCACCATCTGCGTGCAGGACTACTGCAGCAGGCTTGCCTCTCTGGGTGTTCTTCAGTGTTCCAAAACATGAAACCAATGGACAGCATCAGTCCTGAGAGTAGCAAACATTCTGAAATTAGTTTAGTCGGCAAAAGCTCACTTCCACCGTTTATAATCAGGTCAAATGTTTTCTTATTAAACTAAAAATAATGGAACTGAAATATTTCATTATGTTCATGTCTGTATCACTTTATTCAGCACTGTGCTCAGGGAACTCTTGGGACCGTGAAATACTCTTTGTTCTTCTTTGAGTTTCTATGAGGTTCTCTCAGGTATGAAATATTAAATCAAGAAGTGGAACATTGAAATAATGAAATTATCTCATTTAAATGATGTACTAATATTTCATTATCAATTAAGGATTATTTCCCCAAGATGAAGAAGCAGAGCAGGAATCTGAAAAAGGAAACAGTGAGAATCCAACAAAATGCTCCTGGGAATTTGCACTAATTGACGGACAAATCAATGTGCGTGTAAGTTGCAGCATGCGTGACTGTTTCAGGAAAATGTGCACCTGCACAAGAATTTTGGTAGGTGATTTCTGTGGTAGATGAAGAAGCTGCTTCTGAAAGAATTTTCCTTGAAGAACTTGTGGCAGAGTGGCACTATTCATCAATGTTTTCGTTTATGCAGAGACAGGCCAGTTTGGAGATTTCAAAGCCATCCTCAAACTGCAAGACAAACAGACCACCTCAAGGTTTAAGCTGAACAGAAGGCTCAGGATGACTTCTGATGTCAGGAGGCCAAACCTCCTCAGGAAGGATTTTGCTGTGCTGGGTACTCTGAGCACTGAAACCAAAGAGGATCAGGGTTAGAGCCGCATGTGACAGCAGGGCCGTGACTGTGCTGGATTGTTTTGTAGCAGGGACCAAAGACTGATCATAAATTAGAATCTCTCTCAAGGTAAACAGTGGAATGCTTTTTTCCAAGCTCATCAGATTTTAAAGCATGCTTTAAAGAGCATCTCCTCTCTCTGTCTGTCTGTCTCTCTGTCTCTATTATACACTCTCCCATCCCTCTGCTGTGTTCCTCAATCTTTTGTTTAATCTTTGGCTTATTAGAAAATTGGAATAGGATTCTTCTTTATTTATATTTTGATAAGAACATAATATTTATACATACTTACAGAATGTGATATTTTTATCCATATATACAGTATTGTGTATCTATCAACTCAGGGTAATCAGCACATCCAGTGTGTTAAGTTTCTATGGTTTCTTCATGGTGAATTCATTGATACTCTTTTTTTGATGAATACTGACTATTTTTTTAAATTTCTAATTCATTAATTGTCATTTATGTTTTATTTTAATTGTCCTGTAGTAGATTGAAATCATTATTCTCTTTCTAACACCTCATAATAATTGGTTATCATACTTATTATTTGCTTAATAACATTTATTTGTTTAATATAAATTTACCTTGATTAATCCTATTCTATGACATTGTATAGATAGAAGTTGAATTTTCAATTAATTTCATCAAGAATAATGTTACATTATTATTTTACATTTTAAAAATTGTGAGTGGTGGCGCCCGCCACTGCGGCCCGACCAAAGGGAGCCGAGCAGGGCCCCTCTGCTGCCGCCACCCCAGGGCTCTGTGTCCACCCCGCCCCGGGCCCGGGATGCCCAGGCCACTGCGAGGGGCGAGGAGAAGTCGAGGATGAAGCCCCCCTGCGCCGGGGCCGCCGTCCCTGAAGAGATGAGCGGTGGCTTGGCTCCAGGTAAGAGCACAGTGTATGTGTCCAACTTGCCCTTCTCCCTGACAAATAACGACTTACACCGGATATTTTCCAAGTACGGCAAAGTTGTAAAGGTTACTATAATGAAAGACAAAGATACGAGGGAGAGTAGAGGGTTGCATTTATATTATTTTGGGATAAAGACTCTGCACAAAACTGCACCAGAGCCATAAACAACAAACAGTTGTTTGGTAGAGTGATAAAGGCAAGCGTTGCTATTGACAATGGGAGAGCAGCTGAATTCATCCGAAGGTGAAACTGCTTTGATAAATCGAAGTGTTATGAATGTGGGGAAAGTGGACACTTAAGTTATGCCTGTCCAAAAAACATGCTCGGAGAACGTGAGCCTCCAAAGAAGAAAGAAAAGAAGAAGAAAAAGAAAATTGCCGAACCGGAAGAAATTAAGGACGTACCAAAAAGTGAAGATGAAGGGGAAGACCCGGCTCTCGACAGTCTCAGCCAAGCCATCTCAGCCCAGCAAGCCAAGACTGAAGAACAGAACCAGTGGAACCCAGTGCAGGGGGCCCCTCAAAGTCAGAGGATTCACGGCGCCCGAGGATAAAGAAGAGCACATACTTCAGTGATGAGGAAGAATTTAGTGATTAGAGTTATATAATGTAGACGTCAGGAAAATAAAAACCATCTGCAGTACAAATTATTTGCCTATAGGAACATTTACCATCAAATATTTTTTACCATAAAATAGTGCGTGAAAATAAAAAATAATTTTTAAAAGTAAAAAAAATGGTGAGTGGCACATTTTGTTATTTTTAAATATTGTTATATGGTCAGAAAATAAGACTCCTTTCTTTAAGCTTTTTAAATTTATTGAAATTTATAGATTACTTGTAGTCAAATATAAATAACTCATAGATTTTTGTGAAATATTCCGATGCTGAAATGGAAGGCTGGACTTACATTAACTATAATATCATCTGTTATAAAATCTGAGCAGGTGAAAACTAAACAGGTAGAAACAAAGACACCAAAATAATGATACAACATGTCAGAAGATGAGATGTGATGTGAATGCGAGACACATCATGTGAAGCCACGCAGTAGACAGAGCTTTAGGAGGTGAAGCAGTTGGAGGTGATGAGAAATGTGTGATCCAGGTGGACTTCAGCGAAAGGATCTCAGCTGAACTAACACATGGGGAAACAATACAAGTCACCTGAAGGAAGTTCACACATCGGTGCTAGGGCCTGCGTGGTTACCGGTGTGCGCAGTTTGTGGAATGACAGAGGACTGTATGTAGTAAGGGGATCGTTCTTCAGTGGTGGTGGGTGATCCTGGTAGAACAAAGAATAAAGTTTCTGTTTTTGATTTGCTATGTGTTGTGCAAAAAAACAATAAAAAAGACAAGAACAGATCGTATACGGAGCCTTT